ACACTCCCAAAACATTTGATCCTATGACATAAAGCTATAGCCTTTTCATCTCTAAAATTAACTAGACAGAGCTAAATACAGTATTCTTTTCTAGGAGTATTTATCTCCTAAATGCTTTGGGCAAAGGAGATCACTCCCAGGGCAAAGAACACGACCCCAAAGTTACTGTCACTCAAGTGGAGAGGAAGGTGATTTTGCTAAATCTTCCAGCATGCAGTGGGTTGAGGGGGTCTTGTGAAATTCCAAGGATACATATTCAAGTTTGCCTTTCCACAGTGGGAAGAAATTCCCTCCTCTAATTTCACCTGGTCCTCCCAGAATATTTATTAAAGATGTAGATTTAATATCAGCACAGAGTATCAAGTAACTTCTTGGCGAGGGCAGCCCTATTTTCAGGACCTATTAAGATTCTTTGTGGAAATTTAAATACCTCTGTCAGGCAAACAAAATCATATCAGGAACCATAGAATTTCATTGCTAGAAAGAGAAATTAGATTAACCAACCCTCGCTCCTTTCCTAGAAACCTCAATAAAATAGAAGTACATTTCAACAGTCTCTTACTTCCGGTCTGCAGGGGCCTCACAAGAAATCTACATGAATTTATACCAAAGAAAGCTATCCTTGAGGAAAACCCTTCAATCTACAAAAATTGTATATACTTATATAGAGGAGAACACGTAAGTATATATTACATATTAGAAGGCAGTGGCTATTTAAAATCAAAACAGCCAGAAAAAATCCAGTGGCAGAAACCATGACAAGTTCAACACTGATAAGCTTTCAGCCCCTTAATACATCCTTGTGCTTTATTAATATTTAGTAGAAATGTATAATTGCAGATGTGTGCTAGGTTGGGGTTTTATGTCGGGAGGCGGGCAAAGAAGACAGGTTTATTACAGCCATGAAATATTAAACAAGCACCAGGAACAGTAGTAGTATGTCCCAGACTAGCCAGGGAGCAGGCAGGCCCTAACGTCAGCTGCACAAAGGGGGCTCCTGTTTACATTACCCCCGATTAACACCTGCGAAGTTTTGGGTTACATCTTCCGGAGGCTGCAAAAGTCACACGAAGGCATGCAACCCTGGCTGGATGATTTCACAGGGAAACGGGAATGCAAGGCTCCTTGCCTCCCCCAAACAAGTTTGAGTGAGCCTTAAAATTCGCTCCAAGGTGCAGGGAGTGGGGGAAGGAAGCGATTCGGGGGGGAAAAAAACGGCACCAGGACCCCTACCCCCACCCCTCCCCTTCCCCTAGCCTGCCCCATGTCTAAGAAAAGTCGGTGTTCAAATCCTGCCTGCCTATTATTTCTCAGCACGGCTTACCGTGTTCCGACTGGAACACTGAGGGGAGCATGAAATTCCAAAAATTTCTCCCGCATCACTGTAAAAATGTCAGACTTCCAAAAAGGGCAGCATTGCATGCAGAGCAAATACCGAGACCTCTCCCATTTCAATGTATGTGAAAGAGCGTTTCTAGACTGCTCCAGATTTTAAGATAGAGAGCAACCAACGGAATGGAAGTTTGGCAAGGATAAACTTGTAACTGAATAGGAAGTTAAGCTTTGAAAATTCTGGGGAAGGGGCAAGAGGGGGGAGAAGCACGCTTTTTCTGCGCTCCATCCATCCTTCATCTCCAATCTACCATTACTTTCCCTTCTCTCTCCGTTTTGAAATTCCTCCACAGCCACACACCTATTACAAAGATAGGTGGACAATTCTGCAAGCTGATTTCAAATGTATGTCACCCTCACTGATTTAAGAGATGTCTGAATAGGCCCAAACCCAGGCTGGATATTTTTTTTTTTCCTTCCAACAACCTCACCCTTCCCCCACCCCAACTTTGTGCAAACAGAACCTCATGATGAGCCGCAGAGTTTCATTATATAAAAGTTGTCTGGTGGGTTGATTAAGAAGTCAGGGGAGGCATGAATAGGAGAAGCTCGCTTTCCTGGTAAAAAAAAAAAAAAAAAAAAATCATAATCACATGTCGTGCTGGCCTCGACTTTTCCAGAGCTGCGACCTGCCAGTCGAGTTTCCTCCCCTCTGAAGGACATCGAAACCCCATAAGACAATCTGGGCACGTCCCGGTGGCTGCACGGCTTGTGCAGTTCTGAAGACTTATTCGTGCTCTCCAATCGGAGCACGGATCATTTTGCTAAATACCTACTAGTATTTTGTCATCGGAGCGAAGGGTTTCAGAAACGGTGTTAATATTTAATCACATTAGTACTGGCGTGTTTTACGGCGTGACAAAATAAAATATCATTACAAAAACGGGCTCTGCCTGAAAGGGGGGTGGGGTGGGTGAAGGAAAGTGTTTGCTGGGGCTGGGACCTAGAGAAGGTCTCATTCAGAGCCGCTGGGCACCGCTGCTTCCTGGCTGACGGGACCATACGGGGATGTGCTTAAGAAAAAGAGGAACGTTTTACTTTAATGTGTTTTTGTGTTTTTTCACTCTGTTTCGAAGTGGCACACTTCACTCTGATTTTCAGCCAGGGGACTGACTCTCGGGGGCCTGTTGAAGTCTCTGTGTACCTATTTATACAACATGTGCAGATGGAACTGTAGGGTGTTATCATAATGAAAAGTTTAATCATCTTTATTTACTATCAGTAAGGGAGCAGCAATCGGACGCAAATGCCTTATAAAGCCTTAACTAGCAGCCCCAAGGCTGCAGGAGCTGCAAGTGACCTCAGTTCAGGGCTTTATCTAGGAAACTGTCCTTCCCACATCACAGAGTGGAAAACAAAGGAGGTCAAGTGGGTGTAAGGAAGTCCCTGTCCTCCGGGGTGCAGGGTAGGGCTGCGTTGGGCGTACTGGGCAAATCAAGCCTAAAGTGACTAGCATCTGTTTCCAAAAAAACATTTTCCTTCGTCTGACTGTGATAATGAAACAAGCAAAATAACACGTTTCTTCAATGGCATTTCTTCATTCACAGCCTGCATCTTTTCATTTATTTTTTTTCTGTGAAGGAAGATTAGTGGCATGGACTGGGAAGGGAGTGGTGGGACACCTTTAAAAAACTCATTAAAATCACTCAATTCCTCTCCACCTAAGATCTTTCTGAAGACTGGCAGGCAAAGTGCTACTGGTTTTTCTTTATTAATTCACTAAATCGGGATTTCTTTTTTAACTTTTCTCACCCCATTTTGGTGAATATGTTCTTAATTACTGGGGGGATGAGAGAAGGGAGGGGAAGAAGGGCAGCCAGGCCAAGCCAGGTAGAAGTGACAGGGGCCTGGATTTGTGCTAACCAGCTATCGATCGGCAGGGATCGAGATGTTGTATACAAGAAAATAAAAGAGAAGAAGGGCCGAGCAAGCAGGATGCTGTGTCCAACTCCATTTTTAAAAGGAGGGGGGGGGGAGAAAAGGGAAGAAGCAGAGGGTCCCAAACTAACCAATTTATGGCCGTGCCTGGGAGAAGCCTGGAGAATGCTGATGCTGGCTCCAGCGTCTGCTGTGCATGCTAAACACCCGGCTTCAAATGAGAGAGCGGCATCCCGGGCTGGGCAGTAGGCGAACAAAGAGAAAAGCAGGGAGGCCGCATTCATGAATTAGAAAACCTAAGCGGGAAAGCTACCCGGGGCTGGCGCCCTGAAAGCCCTGAGTTCTGAGCCACCCAACTCCTGCGCACCTCCCCTCCCCCTCCTGCCCATCCCACTCACCTAAGACCTACCCACACCTTAAACCCAGGGTCAAGAGATGGCAGGATGTGGGGAGGACTCCGAAAACGAAGGCAGAGGGAAAGAACTCTAAGAGAGGGCAAGAATCAAGGGATGTAATTTTAAAGACATGGTTTAAATCGCCAGCCACTGGCTTCGTGATAATATTCAGCCTGCTGAAACCAAGGGGATTCAACTAGGGTTTAAAAGAAAAAGGTAGGAATGGAAAAAAAAAAAAAAAGAAAGAAAGAAAAGAAAAAGAAATGATGTTACTCAACTTTAAGAAGCCATTATCTGTGGGGGCAGGGAAAAGGTCCCATTAAAATAAAATTGATATCTACAGCAGCCCAGTCTTCTTTAGGTTAAAAAACTGTTATTACTTTAACTGCAGTGGCAGTTCATTGACTAGCCCCCACCCCGCCCACCTTAAAAGCCTCCAGGCCTGATGGGGAGGGAGTGTTTAGAATGCAAAGGAGAGCTGGGACCGGACATCTGTCACCAAAGCCAGGGAGATATTGACAAACGCGGGTCCTTTGTGTCTTAAGAATATATACCCATGTCCCCATACACAAATGATGCCCCGGTTGAGTGGTCTGGCCTCAGCCAAGCAGACCCCACCCCGGCCCCGCCAAATGTCAAGAAGATGCACCTGGAAAAGGCTGCCGGCCTCCCACAGCCCCTACAGGTATCCAGTTTTTCAATGAAACTCTCACCGTTAAGAAGAGACAAAACAGCTACTCATTAGGAACAAATGTCAAATTAGGCGTTGCCTCTGAGTGATGCTGCTGCGACAGAGCTGGCAACTTTTTTTTCTAAAGATGCTGGCACAGGGAAGGGAGCTGGAGCTAGAGGCTGGCTGACTAGGAAAAGGTGGGGAGGCATTAACATAACTTCTCAGGTGTCCTACCAGGAGGGGGGCACACAATCCCTAAAAAGTGGAACCAGCCTGAAGGCGGAGGGTGATGAGGGGTCTTCGTATGAAAGGAAAGGCGCCTAGACCTCTGAGCACCCAGCAACACAGCTGGGTGCTTAAGGGGGGAGGGGACTCTACAACAGTCCCCAAAGGGCTACCACCTAAGTTCTTACCACCCAGTGGAACTAGAATCTACCTGGCAGCACCTAAGGGGGGGGGGGCAGGCTCACAGAGCCCTTGGTGTAGGTAAAAGGAAGGGTATCCGGCTCTAAGCTGGGCATGAAGAAGGCCCTGTGGTCTCCTAATCCCAGAGGACTCTCCCCTTTCATGGAGACTTCAGGGCGGCAGAGGGTAAGGCCCGCAGTGGGGGCGGGGCAGGTCTGCGGGAGGGAAGAAAGGGACCAGAACGAGAGCGCAAATACCTTCTTTGCTGTTGGGGTTCTGGGGTTTGGCCTTCTCCCAGGGTGCCAGCGTCTTGTCGTCATCTGCACCGTCCACCAAGGTCTTGTCGGCCGGCATGTACCAGGTGGCGCTGTGCTCTGCCATCAGGGAGTCCAGGTCGATGGTGCTCATGGCGCTCTTGACAGCCTCGGAGCAGCAGCTGCCCAGCTCGCTGTCCCCATTCTGCGCGCTGGAGGCCCCCACGGCGCACTCGCCCTTCTTGCCCCCCTTGAGCCCCAGAGGCTGGTCCTCGGAGATGCTGAACTGCTGCCTCTGCAGCTGGATCTGTGCCTGGAGGATCTCCAGGGGGTGGATCTCATCAGGCGGCGGCGCGCCGCTGCTGCTCGTAGGGGTCCGGACCTGCTCCAGGCCAGGCGTGCCGGGGTGGCCGGTGCCCCCGCCGCTGCCGTAGCTGTCAGGGGTGGAGGTAGAGGTAGACATGATGCCGAGGCCGAGCGGGGGCGGGGGCGCCTTCGGTCCGTGTTCCCCTGCGCCCACCCCCCGGGGAGGGAGTTTGGGCGAGCCTGTCACCATGGGGCTCCTGCTCGCTTTGGCCAGGGCCGGGGGGTTGTCAGAGCTGGATGACACCTCGTCCTCATTGGCGTAGCTGGTGCTCACCTCGTCTGAGGCGAACTCACCCACGTGCGGGGAACTACCATCCGACTTGGCTCCGCCGTCCAGGGACGCCATGAGGTCCGGCTGGTCCCCCAGGAGCAGCTCGGCTCCCTTCCCCCACGACGGCGAGGTGAGCGCCTTCTCGTGCGGCGTCGGCGCCCCGCGCGCCTCGCCCGTCGAGCTTCCCCCGACGGCTGCACCCGGGGCCTGCTGCTGCCCCGGGCTCACCCCGGGCGC